ACAGTAAACTTGAGAATTCGGAAACGCATTTCGTGTGAGCGACTGTTGTTTTTGGTAGGCTGTAATAAATAAGCACTAACTCCGAGTCAGGCCGGACTACGTTTTTAGTCGTCAAACCGGCGACGTAGATGGACACGAATAGCAACTCTCGTCGCTATCAGAATTTAAAGCCCTAATTTCTAATTAATCCACGTTACAGTGCCATGAAATTAATGATCCTACAATCCTTGAGCAACACAGAAGTTTGCATATGAGCCTAAAAGTAACGAAAACAGCCACTGAGTCCTTAAATAAGCTGTTTCAAAACGCACATGTTGCTTTTGATACTTTTTTAACTTAGAATCGGAAAATATATGTCAGAATGTGTAAAAGAAAATCCAGATGAAATTCTAGTTCAAGACCAATGAAAATTAGATTTATGTCCTAATCTAAGAAGCCCCACTTTACTTTGTAATCTAAGTTAAAAAGTCAATGCCTTCATTCCAGCTTGGCCTACAAATCCAGATCCAGTGCATCAGTAGATAATTCTCGTATTTACTAGGAAATGAAATCAGCCATTAGGTGGGTTTATATTTTGACTTAAAACTGGAGAGCTAAATTTTTATAACCTCAAAACAAATGAAGTATCAAGTTTGATGGCATCTTCTTGGTCCGCTGTTTTGATTTCTACATTGTTATCAGATGCGTTTTCGGAATTTCAACTCTTGTGAATTTTTTAGTTCTAGGGCTCCAATGTATCAATAAACCCTTTAAGTATTATTGCAAACTTTGATTTCTGTTGTATGTCTATTTCACTTTTCGTCTACTGTCTTCTCTAGCTATAATAAGCCACATTTATTTAAAAGTAATCCAGGCAGTGATGCACCAAGCTTGCCGGTGTGATCAGTGCATTTTTACGCTAAAAATGCACTAAGATCGTGAACAGCATGAATGGTTCTTGTGTTAATTTTAACACGTGGACTCATATCGAGTGTGTTTAGCCGCCTGCTGCATACAGAGAAAAATACTTTTGGCTGTGACAGTGATGCTAATTCAGGAACGTTTTGGCTTCTGTAAAACTTCCGGACAATTGCGACTCCACAATGTATCTAGGAAGGAAGCGCAGTCGCAAATCGCCAACCCCGTCGCCTGTAGCTATCTGTAGCTCGCCATTTTTCTCGGTGTTTCCGGCTCTGCTGCTTTCTCATTCACCGCTAACGCTACAATCCATACCTACTTCCAAATCTTCTCAGTAGTTCTACTTGTTTTACTTGGAGACCTTTTGTCACTCACTGTTGTCTTTGCTAATCTTAAGTCCTTTTTGCTCCCAGTCACTGCAACCGCTGCATCATGGACGGGGAACATAATCCCAAAATTTCAGCTTTCTAGCTTTTCTGGTTCCCAAGTTAGCGATTTTCCCGCCAAAACTTTGCGGCGCTCGTACGCGTGGCCTAGACGTGCGTGAGGATTGGTACCGCGGTCCTGGGGTGGCACTTGGCCGGGGGACTCACTCGCAAAATTTTGGCGCCAGGACTTGTTTCGGTGCCGAGTTGAAATACCCGGACAGACGCGCGCACACACACACACGCACATACACACACACACACACACACCGGGTCGTCGCAATATGCGTTTTCGCATTTGCATATATCCAGAAACGCATAATCATTGCACTCTACGCGGACTCTGGTAATTTCGTCAACACCTAATACCTCACTATCTTCCGCGTGTCATCAATCTGTGCTGTCTCTCTAAAAGCCACACTATTACTGTTCTCTCAGTCTCTGCCCAGTAATGTTTCAATTTTTTCAATCACTAACTCTCTTCAAAACTGAACTATTTTCCAGTGCTGTTCTCATTCGTCGCCCGGGATGTTCACGGTGTTCACTTCATTGGTCTCTCGAGCTGGTATGGTGTCCCCCAGCGTTAGTGCTGTGTGTTTCTTACCTGTCTCCCCCCACGGCGATTTCCCATTTCAGCCACGGATTTTGGCGCCCATTCGGGTAATACCCTTAGCTACGGAGCCGCTGTTCCGGCCCCTTCTTTTCCTCACAAGGCCCTTCAGGCCCATACTGCCTTTTTGTAGTGATTTCTTTATTACTTGTTTGTCTTTTTTTGCTTCTTGTGTCTTTGGTCGGTTTTGCGGTGTTCCTTCGTCTCCTGTTTATTCGATTCTCTGGTGTCCCGCTTGGTGGTGGAGATATAAACGTAGTCTTTCTATCCCATTCGTTGCTTTTCCTGTGTTTGTTTAACATTACAGTGGTACCACTTAACAGTTCAGATTATTCATCTGTCTTCCTACGTCGACAAGTATGTAACATTAGGCAGCTGTTGTTTCATTGTCGCGTTTCTTCTCGCCACTGATGCAGCTGGCAACTTCTCCACTCTTCTCTGTTTTGAGTTTCTCTCATCCAAATAATGCTTTGCAGTTATTTAGTGGGTAAGATTGCCTGATGCATCATCGAGTTCGAGGAGTTGTTGTGTTTGTTGCTACATCATCTATCGGCCAACGTGCTGATTATCATTTATATTCATCTAACCCATCCCTTTTAGCAGTTTTACTTCCCGCACACATACAAAATAAAAACCCATTTCTAGCTCTTGCATTACATAGTTCGTTCTATTCTTGCCTTCTTTTCTGCGTTTTTCATATTACTTTCATGCTACAAATCATGCCATAATCAGGCTAGCAGCAATAACTGTCCCTTTTGGTGTTTTATTTTCAGAAATTAAAAATTGGTATAAATAGAAGTCGTAGTTGATAAGCAAAACTGAAAGCACCAAAAACAAAAGATAGTTCTTGTAACGTCGTGGAAAAATAAATGGCCAGCGCAGCGACTGCTGGTGCGAAGATGCGTTTTTTTGCATAGTTCCCCGTAGGTTTTTCTCGTTAATGGCACCAGTTTTTTCGGCAAATGCTTCTATCTAAACGAATTGAGACTGGCCGCCATGACTGTCACGAAACATCTCCTTAAAATTTCAGCTTTCTAGCTTTTCTGTTTCCCGACTTAACGACTTACCCGCAAAAAACTTCCACTAGCATGTATGTGGGAACCCGCGTACTTGGGTTCTGAGATTGAGCTCATTGAGACTTAGTTTGATGAGAAACATCCCTTTAAAATTTCAGCTTCTAGCTTTTCTGGTTCCCGATTTAGTAGCTTGTTCGTCAAAGACTGGCGAGCCCATGCGTGGGTGTCACGCAGGTAAGTATACCTGTTTTGGGGATCGGGGTCCGAACATGCATGTAGATTAAATTCCCAAAGTTTCAGCCCTGTAGCTTTTGTAGGTCTCGAGATGAAAAATCGATACAGACGAACGCACAGACACACACTGACACACACACACACACAAACAACCTCTCATCACTGCGGGTTTTCTGCATTGCATAGCTGCAAAAAACACATAAAAATAGCATTAATAATGGAGTATGCCAGATGACATTCAGAACGCTAGGCTTGCGGTAGTTTCGAATTTTGTCCGTGACTCATAGATGAAATTTTAAACATTTATTTAATTTCAGGAAAATGCAAAAAGATGTACGCTACGATCGGCAGATTCGCCTGTGGGGTGATGAGGGTCAGTCGCGCATCGAGAATGCCAGCATCTGTGTGCTTGGCTCATCGGCACTGGCCTGCGAAATTATGAAAAATTTGGTGTTGGCTGGCATCAGATCGGTGCAGATAGTCGATGCGGCGCGAATCGTTGCTCCCGATTTTGGCAGTAATTTCTTTCTGGATGGTGAAATCGGTGAGCCACGAGCGAAAGCTGTAGTGAAGCTGCTTAAGGTATATTTTAACGGAGTTTTCACAAAGTGTTTGGAGAGAACCTCTTTGTCAGCTTGCCTGTAAGTAACTATGGAAAGCGAGAGCCATAAACAGCCCTGTTATCGGGTGAGGTTGTTGTTGGCATTTGCTACCACTCGGTTTAATGCCCCAATGTCTCCCTGTCGTCTCTCATAGAGAGCTAATTACAAGCGGAATTTTGGCTGGAGAAAATTAGAGGATTATGAGGGAGAGCGAAGAGACAGTTCTATTTTACCAAAATTTTATCCAGCGTATTGGAATGTGGTCGCAGAAGTATATTGTTATTAAAATCGTGGAAGAAAAACGACTTGTTTGAGTGTTCTTGAGAAACGAGCCGAGAAAATTTTTGAGATTTCGTAGACTTTCGATATCAGTGGAACTTTCGATATTAGCGGAT